TTCCTTCTTCTCTAAGGTTTTCCATCCTAGCTGAGAGCTCTTCAATTTTGCCTTTGTTAAGAGAATGGGACTGGGAGCTCCATTTAAGGAGAGCAATTCTGGTTTCCTTCACTTTTTCTTTCACAATGAATAAAGGAGTGCCAGTCTTAGGTTTTGCCCATGCTTGGTTGATGACATCAGAAATGCCTTCCATCTTTAACCATCTATTATCAAATTTAAATCTCCTCTGGGTTTTTGGTTTGAGCTTGCCACAATCAAGAAGAATCATAGAGTGGTAAGATGCACTTCTTAGTACATTCAGAACGGATGCATTTTGGTTGTGTTGTAGCCAGGCTGAAGATGCAAATCCTTTGTCAAGCTTCTCTTCTACCAGTCCCTCCCCCTCCCTGTTATTAGCCCATGTGAACTGGTAGCCTGCCATAGTCACCTCTTCCATTTCTATACCCGAAATAAAATTATTAAAGTCAAGAAAGCTACAAGCATTCCTCTTCCTGCCACCTTTCTTTTCAGCTGAAGAGCATATATCGTTCCAATCCCCCATAGCAAACCACTCATCTCCCTATATAGTCCTTTCTTGAAGAAGAACTTGTCTCTGGGATTCTCTGAGCCCTCTTTCTGAGTTCATATAAACAAAAATACCCCAATTCTTTCTATCATTCTGCAGCTTAAACTCAATGGCAATGAAACAGTCCCTGCAAATCAACTGAATCACCTCCACATCTAAAGACCAGAAAAGAACAAGCCCTCCACTAGAACCAATTGGATCCACAATAGCACATCTATCATCAAATCCCAAGTTCCTACTCACAGTTTGCACATAAGATTTTTGTTTTTTGGTTTCTGACAAAAATAAGAAAACAGGGCGGTGAGTCCTACAAGACTCTTTGATTTGGGAAACTGTAGAGGGCCCACCCAGTCCTCTACAGTTCCACACCGCAGCTAACATTGGTCACTTGGGTGCCAACCTAGGCTGGCCACCCCCACCTTCGAAGAAGAATTACTTTGAGAAGAAGATTTCAGTTTCTTATTTTCAACCACCTCAATTGATTTACCTTTGTCCCTGCTATTGATTATATCCTCCTCTGGCCTTTGTCTCTTCCCAACAACAGAGTTGTCTCTTATCACAAGGCTAGAACTTTGCCTTTAAAGTCTGCCATCTTTGGAGACTGCTCTTTTCCATGTTCTGGTTATTTGTCTTTGAGGCATCATGGTGTCTACTTGCTCCATATCGAGACAATGTTGGATGGTTTGGACAGTATTCAATACTATAGCTTTAGCAATCTCTAGTTTTGGTGGTTGCAGAATCCTTTTAGAAGAAGAAATATTAGCAAAGGTTGGAGAGTGCTTCATCATCATAGCCTCAGAGGATTGAGGAATATCCTCGTCCACGCGAGAGTTAGCTATATTGGCCTCTGGTAGCTGTTGCTGAGCAGAGTCGCTGTGTATCATAACTATCTGATTATTGTCCTTCACATGGCTAGTTGATGTTTTGAGAGGAGAGTGTGCATCTGGATTCTGAGAGCCAGAAGGTGAGTCTTTAGAGTCAGATGCAGTCATGCTAGCCCAGTGTTGCCCATCAGGAGCTCTCAGCCATTCCCCATACTAGCCCTCCTTTAGAGTTTTAGTTCTGATGTCATCCATACGTTTGGAGCAGCCACTTTCTAAATGCCCGATAAAACCGCAATAATGGCAAAAATTGATTAGCTTCTCGTATTTGAAACTGACACTAACAATCTGCTCCCCCAGTTTGATTTTAGAGCAACGAATAAGAGGTTCATTTAAATCGATTGAAGCCAGAAGGTGAAGAACTTTACCCCCATGGCTGCCAGCACCGACTACCACAACGTTAATAACCTCTTTAAAAACTCGACCCAGCTTCAATCCTACTTCGGTACTCAACCAATTAAGAGGGAGATTAAAGACTTGTACCCATAATTTGAGTTCTTGGAACACAGGATAGTTGCTGGATAGACCCGATTGCCAAGGAGATAAGACAAGAAATTGGTTATCGATGCTCCAATTTGTGCCTGTAGCGACCCTGGCCATATCCTCTTTGCTTTGAAAGATAAATTGGAAGAAGTTGTTCCCTAATTCCTTGACCTCCATAGGTTGTTTAAGCTTCCAGATAAAGTTCATTGCTCGTTTAACTCCTATCCAGCTCGCTTTTCGATCTCCAATGTCTTTCCCGAACAAGCAATGTTGGCATTCTTCATCACTGAGTTTGATATCTTCTTGTTTAATGTCAGTAACCAAGTCTTCCTTGGAGGATAATGAAAAACCCTCCATTTTTTGCAAAAGCTCAACATCTTGCCCAATGTCAGATTGAGATCCCATGAGAAATTAGGGTTCTCAGAAGGCCTTAACTCAGAAATGACACAATGTGCGGAACGAAACGGATTAAGAGAGAATCAATCGAAGAAACACTCACAAAGAATCGAAGAAAGTAGCTCTCTCAGAGAGAATAGGTTCGCTCTCCCAGAGAGAATTACGCCTCTTCTGAGTTACTCGCATAGATCTATGTTGCAATATTCTCCATGTACAATACTAATACGTTTTCTTGAGTAGATGTGGAAAAAAAACCTATTCATTTGTTAATAAAATTTATGTATAGCCATCGATCACGAGATGAACATATATCGGCGGATTACGGAACTGGAAGTCATGGCATCGATCTCGATCTGCTTCGTTTGTTTTTGACCCGGGGATGAGTTTGGATAAGTATATTGAAAGGTATATTCACACATTTCTTTATTTAATTTAATTTAATTTTTTGTTTGCAAAAAATTTATTTATTTGAAAATATATTTTTTTTGTATATTGCAAACTAATATCTCTGCACACATTTTATATTTGTAAATTGGTATCTATCACACATTTGGCAAAATAAATCTTTACATACAACTTGGTTATTTTGAATATCTCGAGACACACATAAAATATAAATTCGAATATTATTGTGTTATGGGTCTGTATTAGTTAGGTATCTATATATAATAATTTCAGTCGATAAATTTTTATTTAAAGTTCATTTTCTTATTTTCAGAACATTCAAACAAATTGTATTTATTTTATTCTACGCATTTTTTTAGCAAAAGATCGAAGTAATCTTCAGAATTGATTATATATGTATATATATGGAATACTGATATCACTTTACACACAATTATAATTTTTTTTTTTTTGTTATGGATATTTATTAGTTACTTTTTATTTATGGTCAGTTGCATTTTTTGTTAAAAGAATCATAATAAATAAATAATTTAGAAAAAATAATTATAAGATATATTTAACTCATTATTACTTTTATATAAAAAATACACAATATAGGATAAATAATTCGAATTAGATAATTTAAATAGCTTAAAAGTTTATTTATTTTTAATTGTGGATATTTATTAGTTTCCTTATGATTGCACAAATCAAATGATACACTTTATTCCTAAAGTTTGTGTTTTAGATAATGTGTATCTCGACATATTAGAGACTGATACATGTGATTAGTATTACCATAAAAAATCAGCTGCATTTATCTGAATTGTATCTTAAAAAACCAACAGAAATAATGTAATTGATAGATTTTAACAAGAAATTTTTTATGTGATTGATATTACCTTAATCAATTAGCCGCAATTATCTAAATTGTACCTTTAAAACATACCATAAAATATTTAAATAATTTCTAAATTTAGTAAACAAATTTTTTTTGGCGGGAAACAGTTACTATTTAAAAAATAATTAAACTTTTTTATATATATATATAGATAAGTTAAATAATAATAATAATAATAATAATAATAATAATAATAATAATAATAATAATAATAATAATAATAATAATAATAATAATAATAATAATCATGCAACTAAACAATCAAAATTAATGCCGGGGATCGATCGTATTTATATATATATAAAAAGCCATCCTATTTACCAAAAATAGTAGCAAAAATATAGGTTAACATTTAATGCAACTTATAAATAGTAAGTTTCATTAATTTTATTATTATTTTCTTTAAAAATCATACAACATTAAATGTTACCTTAAATTTTGGGATTTAGTTCATTTTATTATTTAAAAATTTGGATAAGTTCTTTTAAGTGTGCATGTTTTTTTTTTATTTTATATTTTTTTTAGAAGCAAGGAACAACATTAAAATTCCGGTCTCCATATTTATAAAATCTCAATTCAAAATATAACAGATGTTTTAGAATATCGGTCTTTATATTTGTGCCTTTCAAACAAATATTGAATGCTAAAAATATTCTTTAAATTGATAATCAATCAATCAATATTAATTTTGTGAAAATCACGATGTTTAATTTTTTAATAATAAGCATAATAAAAATAATTAATTCATCTTTAGATATATAATTTATAATCTTAATATACTATCATTTAGTGTATACATTTATTATATGAATCATAAAATATTTTTATTTCATAAAATTAAATATATTTACAGGAAATAAGGAAACTTCTTTGGATCAATCGGGTGATTGAATTAGGGTATTGCGCAGGTTGATTGAATTACTTTTAGGTGATATTTAAAATATCGATCCTACCAGTCCAATCGACTGGTGTTGACGGATTCAATAGCAAATATTGTATTCAAGCGAATTATAAACCGGTTCTATGTCCGTTCAGTCGGACTCTGTCCAACCCCGTTTAATTTAAAACATGGGTAGATCATGATCAATGTTATTTATATATAAAATTTATAATATAATCGCAATATTGTTTTCTCGTGCATGGCACGGGCCACACACTAGTTTATCCAAAAAAGCCATCGCGAACTCGTCTCCACCGAATAACTAATTAATTATCTACTAATCTGAGTGTCCACATACTTTAGAAGTCTTTATACTAATTATTTCTATATTCATGTATCAATATTTAAGATAACTCGAATTAAAATTCTAATTAAGATTTTCTATATCCACGCACTAGGACTAATTCATTCAGCAGACCACAAAATCGTTCTCACATCACATTATCGCCAATGAAAAAGCAGAAGCAGGCCGCTGAAACAGAGGAGACTCTGTCCACAGCCATGGCCGACGATAGAATATCCAATTTGCCAATACATACACTTCATGACACAGAAAATCTGCTGCAGATGGTCAACTTCAAAGTTAATTCTGTTTTAATTGGGATTGAATCTGGTCAAGTGCCATATACCATTGGAAAGCCACATGAGTCTAGTTTTTAACAAAAAAAACGGTGGTCAAAAATATTAAGTGACAAGGAAGTTATTGCTGTTTGACTGAAGACTGCCAGAAAGGAGCTGCATACGGGAATTTTGAAAGTTCAGTCAGCTTTTGATTTTTTTTGCCTCCAAATTCGTGATTTCTTTTTTATGATGAAGTCTTAGTTATTCCTAATTAATTTCTTAGTTCAAGTCTTGCCTATATAAGGCCCTATGTATGAAGATTAACTCAATGGAATTGAATTGAAAAATATATTCTTATCTTGAGCTTTAAGCTTGTTGAAGGTTTTTATCTTCTTATATCTACTCTCAAACTCTTGGTGGATTCTTAGAGTGGGTGAGTTTTGAGTGTGCCTTGTGTTTCCTCCCACCTCATTTAATTATCCCGGTGTCACTTCACCATATTCTCTGTTCCCTCTCCCAGAAAGAAGCTGTCCGAACATGTCTACTCTCCAAACACTGGCGCTACATAGGATCAACCCGCCCCGACCTCGACTTCTACGAAGAACCGTTCAACGACACACAAGAAAAATTTGTCTCGGTCGTCGACCGAACCCTACAAGGATACCGTGATCAAAACCTCTCCATACACAAACTCCATCTCAATTTATACTCACGACCGGCCGTCACTCTTCTCAATAAATGGATTTCGATGATACCCACCCTCAACATGAAAGTGTTTAAACTCAACTTTCTTTTATATCCTCACGACCTCCCCTCGGCAGTGTTCTTAGCCGAGTCCCTCGAAGACCTACATCTGCGAAAATGCAGGCTGAGCTTGGCCGAGAGCGTGCCGTTTAAAAGTTTGCGCACGCTCACCCTCGAACAGGTCCAAGTTGATGGCCGCACTCTAGAGACAAAAATGTTGGACTGCCCTTTGCTCAGGCGACTGGTCCTTGATAATTGTTGGCAGTTGAGAAACGTTAGGGTGAGCGAGGCGGCATCGCCTGGGCTCAAGCACTTTGTATTGCATGATTACAGCAACTGGATCAGTGGGCGTAGTATCGAAATGGATGTCCCGAATATTGAGACGGTGTCCATAAGGGGCCCATGGATTTGGTCTCACCACCAAAGCGCATTATTGTTTTCTCGTCTCACGAATTTGGATCTCAATAGTGTGATCTTGTCGAGCGAGTCGTTCGACCTGTTATCGTTCGCTTGCCCGACTCTTGAGAGCTTGACCGTAGATAATTGCTATGGTTTCGAGGAATTCCATCTTGCAAGTAATTCGGTCAATTTCTTGCACTTCCGGACCACAGAAGTATTGCTAAAAGGAGTTACGATTTGTGCCCCCAACATTGTCAGTTTCCAATTCACTGCCCATATTTCCCAGGCGCTAGCCACATTCTCTTTCACGACCACTACTTCCAAGGAGTGGTCCTCAGAAGTATTTCTCTCTTCACATAAGGATGATCCTGATTTAGACCTCAATTCATGGTTCCTTAAGCTGAGACGATTGCTAAAGGCACTAAGTGGGTCTTGGATTTCTCTGCTTTTGCAGATGGACGCCGGCCCTCGGGACGTGCCCTGTAGTGCTGTTCTCGGTGGCGAGCCGCCTGTGGTGTTGCGGTACTTGATTTTTGGTACATGTAAATGTCACAGGGTGGCTTGGTACATGGGATTTACCAATGGCTTGTTTCGTGTTTGTCGACCGAGTCATGTATATGGTTGTAGGGCCGTGAGCGAGTCGGGCGGGAATTACAGGCTCTCGGAGTTTCAGTTAAAGTTGCTTGCAAACAAGAAAGTCAGGACCAAGACCTGTTTTTGGGGGCACGATTTGGAGCAAGTGTTTGTGGAAAGTTTCGACGGGCAACAATGGCAGCTCATGCAGTGGAGGACACTCGGGGAGTTGCGAAAACGAACACAAGACAGGAATATTCGCCTTAGATTGAAATGGAGATGTTAGAATGTTTCTGAATTCTAACAGACTCATAGTCAGTATGATGGGTTGGTTAATATGGGTTGAGTCGAAATGGAGAGGTCAGACAATTGATATGTGATCTTTTGCAACTTAATGAGTTTCACATTTGTCATGGTTTTTACCAAAAAAAAAATAGTTCTAAAGTCATAACAAAAATAATCCTGGTGAAGCAAATTTGATTTTTAGTGAGGAATATCGTTGAGCTTCTATACTTTCATCATACATGTGTTATGTTGAAAGAGTTGGTAAGAAATTATTTTGGAGAATTTCACCATATCTGCATTAGAAAAATGTCGCATGGAATCTTGGTACTCGGATTTCACGAATGATTTGTTTCGTGTTTGTCGACCGAGGCAGGTATGGGGTTGTAGGCTCCTGAGCGTGTCGGCCAGGAACCACAGACTCTTAGAGTTTAAGTTCAACATCTTGCTTGCAAACATGAGCCTCGGGACCGAGCTCTACCATTTGGAGCAAGTGTTTGTGGAAACTCTCGACGGGAAACGATGGCACTGGACGAAGCTGGGGGAGTTAGTGAAACCGGGAAAATTCGCCTTGGATTGAAATGAAGTTGTCATAATGTACAAGGACGCACGTAGCTCGGCTGCTTTTATCATTGCTTTGTAATTTTCCAAGACTTGAATTGGTAATTTGAGTTTTTTTTTTTTTTGGGTGTAATTTTGATTTTTTTAATTGTTTTTATGAATAGAGAGAAAAAAAAACATTTCAGGATGTATTTTATTTTATAAAATATAATAGACAATATATATTTCTGGTTTTATGTTGTTTTATCTATTCTATACTATTATAAAAGATCCAATGAATCTGTAAAAATATGTTTTTCCTAAAATAACCTTATTTTATCATTTTTATAATGACAACTTTGTAATCTAATAGTGTTAAAGGTTTTTATAATGGCAACATTGTAATTTAATTTAATAGTGTTGAGGGTGAAGAACATGTGGGCCCAGTTTATGTGAAATCGGGAACTTCCCGCAGACAACAGGGTGCAAGAATTGGGGATGACAAAAATCTATAGTACTTTAAAAGGAGGAGTGTTTTTGTAAAAATTCATAATGCCTAAAAAACCCTTACTTTACATAAATTTAATGGCAAATTAGTAATACACTAATACACATCATATTTTATTTATATTTTTAATTAAATAATGAACTACCTAAAAAACTCTTACTTTCACATGTTTTTAATGGCAAATTGGTAAT